ATTAAATCAATTTTTGCTTAAAATCCCTAGAATTGTTTCTCTTTCCTGCAACTGAACCCTGACTGATACCTAAAGCAAATAAAAAGAAGTAACATTTGAAAGAACATGTCAGTACCATGCCATCTAAGGGGTAGGGCAATTCTGATTAAAGGAGGGAGAGAACATTCAAGTTAAACTAGTATTTCCTCAGAATGGTTTCAAGCAAAGTAGAAATATACATCTAGCCCAGTGTTTCTCAACCATTCTCTCATTATAGCCCTTCTAAGGGCATTTTTAAGACACTTTTTTTCCCTAATCCACCTGCCTGATATTTTAATACCACAGATATATCCTGTACCTGCTTATGTACTCTCTGTTTATCTTTGCCTCACACATAAAAAGAATAAGATATTGCCCCCAAAAAACTAATTTTCACCCCCTTGGGAGTGATATCTCCTCCACCAAGAATGCATAGTCTAGTCCTTGCTTAGTTTTAATTCTGCAGAATACAACAAGAAAACACTATATAGAGGCCTATGGGGTGAGGAATCTTCTCTAGCTTTTGCCAGAAAGGTTTCCCAGACTAACCCCACATAATGCTGGTAACTCCAATTATTCCAAATCAAATTTTCTCCTCTGCACTCAATTATAAGTATACCTTACTTTATATAAACCCAGTAGCTTCTAAATGTTTAAAATTAATATATATGAATATATGAATATATTATATACATATATATAATGTAAAACATAAAAATTAAATATTAGGTGGTTATTCTCCTTTTAAAAAGATTAATCTTTAACCTTTAATTAGTGAGCTCTTGTATATCAAATCATCTTAGATTCAATTTAAAAAAGATATGCAACTTTTTGGAGCACTATTGCACAAGCACGTGTATCTTGCTCATGTTCTGTATTATATGAACTACTGTATATATTCACCCTATACCCCCTATTTAGGGTATAAATTAGTTAACAGAAGTATTGATCATGCCTAATTTCCTCTATAGAAAGGCACTATGCTCTTCATATGGTTTATTCTGAGACTATTCCTAACAAAGAAAAAGTCCTGACCTTTGGCCAGGAAGAAAGCTATGATTAAAGTTTGGGGCATCCCAACCCCTCTTGATCACTTTTAGACAAACAAAGCTTTCCACAACTACTAGTATCTATTTCTATCAGTTTCCTTCAACATTGGTACTGGAGTGTGCAAAATTTAAAAGCAGTTTCTAGGAACCTAAGAAATATTGAACTCTGTGAAGTTAAAAAGCTCACTTTACCTCTCACTAATCACTAACCTAATTTTATATTTAGTAAAATAAGGAGTGAATGAAGAGGCAGAGCCCAGTCCCTTCTGATGCTGTGGATCAGTTCAGCAGAGGCCTGCTGTACAGACAGACAACTGATAGACGTAATCTTTCTCCCTATCAGCTGCTCCCTGCCTTCACTTCCTTCTCCTATTCAGCATATTTTACGGCCTATCATGTCAGCCATTCTCTAGCCATAAATTCTTATCTTTGTCCCACTGCTGGAGGGGTAAAAAAAAATCACACAGCTGAGCAGTCATTAAACTGACTGTCCTCAACCTCGCTGACCCTCACCACTATACAGCAATCCTTCTGTTTTCCCTGATTCTCTCTCCTGGCCTCCAGAGAAGCTACTTCAAACTTTTTGCTTCTAAATAACCATTAATTTGCTCCTTCACCTCCTTCAACCCTTCACTCAAATGCCACCTTCTTAGGGAAGCTTTTCCTGACTAAAATTTTAAAATTGCATCCCTTTTCTCTTTTATCTTTCACCGTTTAATAAACTGTGTATTTTACTTATGTTGCTTCTTGTCCATTTCCTGTGAGTGGAATGTGAGCTCCAGGAGGACAGGAATTTGCACGTTTAGTTACTGCTGTACCCTAGTGCCTCTGACAGTGCCTGGCACATAGGAGGCACTCTTTCAAATACTGAGAATGAATGAGCGAGTTTCCTCTTTCCTAGGGACAAAGCTCTACCACCCCGAGCCATTTTAAATCTCTCTCCATCGACAACTTCCCATCAGGGTTTAAACACACCAAAGTCTTCACTGTTTTAAAAAGCTTTCTCTTAACCTCCAACTCCTCCTGTAGTTACCACTCCCTTTCCCTCCTCCCCAAGATTGCCAAACTTCTTCACAAGTTGTCTATATTTGCTGTCTTCAATTTTTTGTCTCCCAGGTCCTTCTCAATCAACAACAACCTGCCTTCTGACTCCCCACTGCACTGCAACTGTTCTCCTCGAGGTTGATGACTGTCACTTTAGGGACAAAACCAGTTCTGATCTAACTTGGCCTCTTGAAAGCTTGCAGGAGAGTCACCTAACCCAGACTTGAAGATTAGGTAAGGCTGATACTCCTGCCAATTCCCTTCTTCTTCACATAATCCTTTTCTTAGTGTTCCTAGTTTTCCTTCTATTTCTCTGTTCCTTCTCTGTCTCCTTTTCAGGTCCTCTTCCTCTGCCAGCCCCTTATGATGTTAGTGTTCTTTAGGGTTCTGTGTAGGTGCCCTCTTCACTGCTTACTCTACATGTCCTTCCTAGGTGATCTCATCAATTCCCCTCTCTTCAATTTCCATGTATAAACTGGCAGTTCTTATAATCTGGGCTAGAGATACAGATCTCTCCAGAGCACCAGACTCTCCAACCTTTTACTGGACATCTCTGCTTAGGTGCCTCAGACTCATCTCAACTCCACAACCCCACAACTGCACTTACCACTTTGCTACTCCCCAGCCACCTGCTCTCCTCCTCTCTTCCCAATCATAATGAAATGGTGCCACCACTACCAGTTTCCCCCGGCCGGAAGTCTGGAAATCATCCTTGACTTCCCTCTTTCTCTTCCTAATTCTCCTACATCTAAATCAGGGTTTCTCAACCCAGGCACTACTGACATTTTGGAGCCAGATAGTTCTTCACTGTGGGGGCCTGTCCTGTGCACTGTATGATGTTAGCAACCTTGGCCTCTACCCATAAGGTGGCAGTAGCCCTCCCCACCCTTTCAGTTATTACAACCAAAAGTCTCTTAAGACATTGCCAAAAATCCCCTAGTGAGCAATTATCCCCAGCTGAGAACCACTGATCTATCTCCATCAACAAGTCCTGCCTGTTTCACCTCCTAAATATCCTTAAATTGATCCACTTTTCTTCATCCCCACTACCACATTCTTATTTCAGCCCATCACCAGGCTGGATCACTTCAATCACCTCCTAACAAGTCTCCGTGCCTCCAGACCGGTCCTCTCCAAATCATTCTCCACAACGGTGCCAGAATGATCTCCCAAAGACCAAACCCCTTCATGTAACACCTCAACCCCTTCCTCCCAACCCAGCATTAAACATTTCTTCTTCTCCAGAGAGAAAAATGTTGGAAATTGGAAGATAAAACATTTGGAAGGAGGAAGCATCCCTTCACTCTTCAGATAAGACAAAACTCCTTACCATGAATTACAACACCCTTAACAATCTGGTCCCTTGTTTCCCTCTCCAGCCTCAACTTTCACACCACTCATCTCCTCAAACTCGATGCTCCAGTTAGACGGAATTTCTGTTAGTTCTCCTGTGGCACAAACTGAACCTCTGGAGGTTATTTTTATCTAGGACATGATTCTCTCACCCGCTCAACTCCTACTTATTTCTTCATGTCTCACTTCCTTTGGAAAGCCTTCCCTACCCCTTAAAATCTGGGTTAGGTGCCCCTCCCACGGGCTTGCAAAATACCATCTCACCACAGCACAGGGCATTGTCATCAGCTACCTCTTCTGTACTCATTCCACCCTTTATATTATAAAATTGAGACAGGGACTATCCTTTCACTTGTTCACCACTGAATCTCCAACACTAGGTGCTTAGAAGGAATTCAATCTACTTTTAACAAATGAATGCATGATTACTACAAAAAAAAAACAGAATCTTTGGAGCTGATTCTCTCAAAAGGTTGTTTCTTTAAAGGCAAGCAGAACCGGCAGAAGAAAGTGTGTACCAGATATCTGTTTTAAAATATCTGGACAAGGGACAAAGATTGGATTGGTGGTTACCAGAGGGGAAGGGGGGAGGGAGGAGGGTGAAAGGGATAATTTGGTACATGTGTGTGGTGATGGGTTGTAATTAGTATTTTGGTGGTGAACATGATGTAGTCCATGCAGAAATAGAAGTACAATGATGTACACCTGAAATTTAAAAAATAAATAAATAAATAAATAAAATATCTGGACAAAGTCTTAGTACTCTAAAAACGTGCACACGTCGCAACTGATAACAGTTGTAGGAACTGTACCCTGCAGTGGAAATCAGAGGCTATTAAGTAATAGTTCGACCTCAGATTCCCCCCACCTCTCCTTTCAGTCAATCTAAGAAACAAGCTTTTCACCATTACCATTATTTATTTTCTGCTAGTTTTTCCTACGTCAATATTAGAGTGTGTAGAATTTAAAAGCAGAGTCTTGAAAGGTAGGGTGGGGGGATCCCTTTAATAAAAACAAAGGCCATAAACGCTATTTTCTCCAAATACCGCGGTACCTGTAGAGACAGGCCGGAGCATTTGGCTTTATCACGACGTTTGCTCCCCTCGGAACAGCAAAGATAACGCAGGAGACATCAGCTTGCCCGAGAGAAGTAGGTCTGTCATTAACACCAGGACACCTGGCCTCCCCCGGCCCATCCACGCAGGATCCTCCCACCCCGGTCCACACCCGTGAGGCCCCCCTCCCGAGCTCCCAGGGCTGACACGACCCCCACCCCGGTCCATTCCCGCGAGGCCTCCCTCCTGAGAGCTCCCAGGGCTGACACGACCCCCACCCCGGTCCACACCCGCGAGGCCTCCCTCCTGAGAGCTCCCAGGGCTGACACGACCCCCACCCCGGTCCACACCCGCGAGGCCCCCCTCCCGAGCTCCCAGGGCTGACACGACCCCCACCCCGGTCCACACCCGCGAGGCCTCCCTCCCGAGCTTCCAGGGCCGGCAGGACCCCCACCCTCGCGGGCCGCGCGTCGCCGCCCACCTCACAGTCCAGGAGTTCGGTGCCCGGCTCCTGCTGCCTGGCGATCCGGCAGAACACGCACTTGCTGCTGCAGCCCTCGGGCTCCGGCCACTTCGCGGGCTCCGACGAAGACACGGGAGGTGCTTCGGCCGCCGCCGCCGCCGCCGCGCTGTCGCACTCCCGCTCCTCAGCCATCGCACCTGCCCCCGGTGGCCCAGGGCCTCGGCTTCTCCAGGACCAGGGGAGCTGCGTTCGGCCGGCCTCCTGCACCTCCCCGTCATTACCTGGAGGCGTCGCCCGTCGCCTGGCGCTGGCCCGGGCGGGAGTTGAGCGCCCGCGCTGATCCCGGCTGAAGCTAGAGGGACGGCGACGCGGGGCAGGGCCTCGAAGACGGCGGCCACGAGGGGGCGCGCGAGGACGCGCGAGGGCGCTACCCGGAGAAGCCGGCGGCGGCTGCGGGAGGAGCCCCGCCCCCTGCGTCTCGTTGGTGATGACGCACGACGACCGCCGAGACGCAGGAGCGCGCCCCGCGCCGCCGTGACGTCACCGGCGCGCCCTGGCGCCCGGCCAAGTGGAACCTGTTGGGTGCTCTGGAGTTTTCCCCGGAAGTCTGTCATGTAACATGGCCCGAGAGTGCGTTACGCTGTCCTTAAGAAAAAAGTTTTAAAAAATTGGTAGGTTTTAAGAGAATGAATGAAATTTTTAGAGCTTTCTTTTCAACATAGATCATATTTGACGCTCTGTGTCTGCATTTTTGAGCCACGGTAATTTTAGATGCTTAAGCTCAACATGTCCGAAGCTGAGCTTCAGTTCCCTGTTTACCTTTTATTGTTGTTGTTAACAGCACCAGTTAGGTCAGAACAGCGGCCTTTATCTCACGTTGCTCATGCACGGGTAGATGAGGGGTCCTGTGTTATACAGGCGGTTGTGTGCGCACAGGCGGAGTTGCTACCAGTTGGTGCTCTGGCTAACTCCCCTGGGAAACAGACATTCGGGTTGTTGTGACAATAGCTAGAAATTTTACTTGCGAAATGGAATGCCGTTTTCTAATTTCACAGGGGCCCTGCAAGAGCCAGCGGCAGCCCTGCTTCCGAGAAGGGTCTGAAGTCGGAGAACTATACGACTTGCCATCTGTGAAGACTTGGGCTAAGTTACTTATCTTTCTGTGCCGAGGCTTTCTGTTTCTTCATCTTAAAATGAGGATAATAATAATGCTTAATGCAAACGTTGTTGTGAGGGCCGGCCCTGTGGCTTGGTGGTTAAGTGCGCGCGCTGCAATGCTGGCGGCCCGGGTTCGGATCCCGGGTGCGCATCGAGGCACCACTTCTCCGTCCACCCTGAGGCCGAGTCCCACATGCCGCAACTAGAAGGATGTGCAGCTATGACATACAACTATCTGCTGGGGGTTTGGGGGGAAAAAATAAAAAAAAAAAAATCTTTAAAAAAAAAAAAAAAAAAAAACGTTGTTGTGAGAAGTAACGCGTAGCAGCCTGGCACAAAGCTCTCAATAAATGTTATTACCAATAGGTAGTGATGGTATGTAAAACCGTCCAAGTGATCAGATGGCTCGCTTTCATTTAAATACAGAAGCTTTAGGGCTCCTATCTAAGACAGAGTCTGAGTTATGCTTTTGTAATGTCATTTATCCTGTATGATGCCAGCTAGAATAAACTTGAAGCAATTAATGATCTGGTTATTACTTTAGAAGATAATGTTTTCAGTTTTAGAGGTCAAGTTTCTTAATTGCTAAAGTGCTTACTATATAGTAACTCACTATGATCAATTTATAAACTTGATTAATGGGGAATTTACCCATCATTCTCATTTTTTTAACTACTTTTTTGGTTAAAATCACGACTGAAAAAAACCATGAATGTGTTGCATGTAGAATGATGCATTAGGATATCACCTTATTTGAGAATAATTTAGAATATGGATGGGAGTCACATTACTGTTTTCAGCAGCAAACATTATTAAGAGCCAAGTTTGGACATCATGCCGTAATTCAAACAAGCCTTCATTTGTCCTTGCTTTCACCTTCATTTACTAATCCATTTCTCTGCTCTCTTTTGCAACCAAACTCCCCAAAAAAGTTGTCTGTACTCTTCCCAATCTCTCTCCTCCTCTCCTCTCACACTGTCTCCTATCAGGCTTTCACTGCCACCATTCCATCCAAACTGTTCTATCAAGGTAACCAATGACCTCTGTGTTGCCAAATCTCATGGTCACTTCTCAGTGCTCATTTTTTTTGGCAACAGTTGATCATTCTCTCTCCCTTGATACAAAACTTTTCTTGTGTTGGTTTCCAGGACACCACACTGTCTCAACTTTCCGGCAACCTGATTGCCTGTTCCTTCTCAGTCTCTTTGGCTGCTTCCTTTTCTTCCAAACCTCTGTCATTAATGGGCTTTGGTCCTGGGTTCTCATCTCCATTCTCTCTCCTTCCCTTCCTCCCTCCCTCCCTCTCTCTCTCTGTCTGTCTCTCTGACATACAAAAAGCTATATATATTTAATGTATATAACTTGATGACACTCTTCTCTTTAGCTACACTCACTCTTTTGGTGATCTCATGCAGTCCGTTGCTTTAAACACTATATGTATGCCAACGACTCCCAAATTTAAATCTCTAGTATAGACCTCTTCCCTGAACTCCAGACTTGAGTATCCAACTTCCTATTCAGCCACCCCGTACACATGTCTAACAGATGTTATAAACTTGTCTGAAGCTGAGCTCCTCTTCCCCTCCCAAAACCTGCTACCATCTTAGTTGAGGGAAACTCCGTTCTGTCACCTACTCGGGAAAAATTTTGAAATCATATTTGATGCTTCTTTTTAACTCTTCGTATCCAATCTATCAGGAAATTCTTTCAAGTACGTCCAGAATCTGACATTATCACTACTATCAACCGTGACTGAGCCACCATCACCTTTCATATGAATTATCCAGTAACCTAACTGGTCTCCCTACTTCCAGCCTTCGTCCCACCCCCATTCCTGTCTAGTCTCAACATAGCAGCCACAGCGATCCTTTTAAAATGTAAGTCAAATTGTGTCACTGCTCTGCTCAACAGCCTTCAATGGTTCCACATCCCACTGAGAGTACAAGCTAAAGCACTTCCCTATGAGGACCCCGAAGACTCTACCTTATATGCCACCTGCCCACCTCCACACATTCTGACGTCAGCTACCACCAATAATACCATTGCTTCCTCTTTTCAAGCCACACTGGACTCCTTGTTGTTACTTGTGCCAGCCAGGCATGCTCCCACATTTGGGCCTCTGCGCTGGCTGTCTCTCTGCCCGGAACACTCTTTCTACTACTAGTCATGCAGATTTCTCCTCTCATCTCCTTAAAGTCTTTGCTCCATGTTTACTTCCCCAATGAGGTCAACTCTGACCACCCTGACCACCTATCCCTCACTCTCACCCCCAGCGCTTCCTTCCCATTTACCTGGTTCTAGTATTCCATTGCATCCATTACCTTCTAGATATTTAAATTTAAATATTTAATATTATATAGCAGTATTAGATATAATTATTTAAATACTACATATTTAACTTACTATGATTATTTGTTATTGTCTGTTTCATCCTCACTGAATGTAATCTCAACAGGAATTTTCATCATTTTTGTCTGCTTTTAGTTCATGGAAGTGTCCCCAGTGCCTCTATGTAGAGTGTGAGATACCAGGTGTCATCAAGGACAACCCCAGGGTTCTTAGTCTGAAAACTAAAAGGTTGAAGCTGATGTTTACTAAGATGGGGAACTCTGGGAAGAGCAAGTTTGAGGGCAGGAAAGACCAGGCATTGGGTTCTGGGCATATTAATTTGAGATGTTATATCAGTCTGTTTAGAAACAGTTTGTTGCAGTACACAACTCTAAAAATCTTAATGCCTTAAATCAAAAAGGTTTATTTCTTGCTCACATCTGTGTCCATTGCAGGTTGGCTCTGGCTGTGCAGACTTCATCCCATGACCCAGGCTGAAGGAGCAGGGATGTTTCTGGTGTTAAAACAGAGGGAAGAGAGAGCACAGTGGAGCCACATGATGGCTCTTAAGTCTTCTTCTCAGAACTGGCACATGTCACTTCTACTCACATGTCATTGACCGAAGCAAGTCACATGGCCAGCCCTGACATCAGCAGAACAGGATTAAATATAATCCTAGCACTGAAAAAGGTAAAACATATTTTGAAAAATAATACAGTCTACTACAGATGCCTATTTGACATCTAAGTGGCAGTGTCATTAGGTAGTTGGATATATGAGCCCGAAGTGGAGATATAAATTTTAGAATCTTTAGCATATAGTGTTTACATTCATGAAGTTAGAAGAGATCACCAAAAGACTAAGTATAAATAAGAAAGAGAAAAGTTCCAAGGACTGAGCATGGAGCTCTCTAGCATTTAGAAATAAGAGAAACGAGAAATGGTCAAACATGACTGAGAAAAAGTGGCTGGTGAGAACCAGGAGAATAACCAGGAGAAAGTGGTGGCTGGAGGTAAAGCAAAGATTGTTTCAAGTGGGAGGGAGTAATCAGCTCAGTCAAAGGCTGAGTTGGTGAGAAGAGGAGGACTGGGAACTGAGTGGAGGTAAAGCTGATAAAAGCAACTTTACTGTTGGGGTTGGGGAAGAAGCCTGATTGTAGTGGGTTTAAGGGAGAATGGTAGTAAATGAATTAAAGGCAGCAAGTATGAACAGACCAAACAGATTATTCACAGGAAAAAAGAAGGTGCACGAAGAACATCGGAAACCATAAACTACACTGATGAAGATCGGGAGAGGCCAAGACGCTGGAATATCTAAGTGCAGGAGCAGTGACTTGCCACTCAAAGCAAACACATGTCATTCATGTTTATCTACTCAGGTGTCTCCATTCCTTGCAACGTGAGGAAGCTGCACTAACTCACCATCCTTTCCCCACCAGTTAGCTTCACCTTTATCACATTTTAAATTCCGTTTCCTTATATTTCTTCCATAACCTCCTAGTGTTGGAGTGCCCCAGGGCTTACTCCTTGCTCTTCTTCTCTATCTACATTTACTCCCTTAGTCTCATCCAGTCTCAAAGCTCTCAATATCTATATGCTCATGACTCCCACATTTCTAACTCTATTCATACCTTTCTCCAAATCGAAACCCCACTGCACACTTGATATTTCGACTTGGATGTCCAATAGCTTAAACTGCTGATCTCCCTACTACAAACCTCTTTTATTCATAGATTTCTGATCTTTTTTTTCTGTTGTGAGGAAGATCAGCCCTGAGCTAACATCCATGCCAATCCTCCTCTTTTTGCTGAGGAAGACCGGCCCTGAGCTAACATCTATTGCCAGTCCTCCTCCTTTTTTTTCCCCCTTTCTCCCCAAAGCCCCAGTAGATAGTTATACGTCATAGTTGCACATCTCTCTAGTTGCTGTATGTGGGACGCCGCCTCAGCATGGCCGGACAAGAGGTGCATCGGCATGTGCCCGGGATCCGAACCTGGGCCACCGGTTAGCAGAGTGCGTGTACTTAACATCTGCTCCATGCGGCTGGCCCCATAGATTTCTGATCTTGGTCAATGGCAGGTTAATCCTTCCTGCTCTAGATCCTGTCACTCCTCTGCTCAAAACCTCCA